ATATTAGTATCAGACTCATAGTTTCGTTGATAAACCAACCAAGGATTAATTTTATCATCGGAAAACATACCACTAAAACCTCTATCCTTGCGTGATATAGGTGTATCTTCGACTACATATCGATCGTTATCAAGAACCTTACATATACGGATAAGGACCGCGAACTTTAGAAATAAATCTTCTGCTTTTACCTGTTGAAGGAATCTCTCTCTCTATTCTAACCAAATCACCTACAACGAACTTTAAGATTTTCCGCTTCTTATCAAAACGTTCCTTTTGTTTTGTTTAATGCCCGAAAATCTATACAAAGACGATAATCTCCCGTTTTCTTCTTAATAAGGATAATAGGTGACGCGTATTCTGAAGTAGACTCTGATAATTCCACAGTTTTCTAATTCTTTTACCATAGCTCTAACACGCTCGCGTTCTAGTTGAGACAAACGGTACGGTCTATTTACTACGGGATTATTGTCATTTAATTTAATATTCAATTCTGAACCTTGTACGCATCCAATTTCATTTATTGCAAAAGCAAAGCATTGTCTGAATTCGTTTAGTTTATCACTATGACCCAAGTCTTTATCTATATTTAACATTGAAATTTCTATTAATGTAACAGGAGGAGCAGAGTTATGTTTAATTTTATTTACATAAATATTTTGAACATTTTTTTAAAGGTAGAGCTCGAACCAGTAGCATATCTTTTGTTAAAGAATATAGAGTTGAAGATACACATTTAATCACTACTCGTACCTGACCATTGTTTAGCTGTATGACACTCTGAATAACTTCATATTCACGTTTAGGTAATTGGCAACAACTAGCTTCTATAAATAACTGACCCTTATGATTTGGAGAAGAGTAAACATATATTTCATTATAACCAAAAGCAACTGACGTAGATTCAGTGATGAAGCAAAACCTTAGTTTCTTTTTGTGAATCTCTTGAAATTATTTTTAAGCTATCCTTTTATAAACAACTATGTGATCTTGTTCGGTATACGTATGTCCCAGCAATAACGAAACTCGTTAGTAACTCATCTGCCACAATAAGAACTTGCACCGTAGCTTTAACAAGATCCACTTCAATTTTGACTTCACACATACCGAGACATTTCACTACAGAATCTCCAAAGCCTCGTAAAACTGGCAAATTATTCGTTGACCATGAACCAACTAGACTTTAGCAACAGATTCCTTCAACATGGTACATTGACTACCAAAATCTATGAAACAGTCTAATTCTATATCATTAACCTTGGCTGATTTAAAGTATTTTAAATCATAATCAATATTTTTGGATATAACTAAAACGGTCTTGCTGTCTGCGGATCCTTGTTTCGGACAACTATCAGTTAAATGACCTATCTTATGACACGTGTTACACCTTTTAATAGTATGTTTACACTTAAAATATGGGTGTCCTTTCTCACCAAAGTTATTACATTTTGGTACAGTTTTAATATTAGAACTACCTTGTACCGGCTTAAAGACTTTTGGCCGTCTGTTGTCAGAAGTGCTTGCTTGAATTGTGGTGTTTTCCTTTCAGGCCTCCTAACAGTATTAACATTTCTTAGGAAAATTAATAATTTATCTAGTTCCGTAAATTGAGCCGCTTCGGCACTTGTTCTAACAGACCTATCCTCAATGCCAAATAAAATACCGTCTGTAGCATTTTTACCAAATATTAAACATCTGTTCGATAAAACAATCTTTTCATAAAAAACACTCTTCTAAAGACTCGCCAAATCGAGCCTCACACGCAAGCATTTCTGTTAACAGTTGGCCATAATTTTGATTACTTGAAAATGCTGACCTTAGTTTATCCTGTCATTCAGACCAAGAAAACATTAAGCTTGGCAAACCTCGACACCACTTTTGCGCTAAACCAACTAATTTCGGAAGAGCATAATGAATTATCTGACGTTCTGATCAACCATAAACAGCCGCACACTCGTTCACCTTAACAATCCAGGTATCAACGGTTTGATTACTCTTAGACGGATCGAACTCTGGAACAACGTTTATGGCAGGATAACGATCGCTACTATTATCAGGTTTAATCGCATTAACTAGTTCTTTAAATGTATCTATTAAGTTATTTGCAGAAAGACACGACGTAACACCCTCATTGATCGGTGAACATCGGTGTTTTTTTGCACTTCTTACTCTATGTGTGTCCTTTGAGAGGTCGGGGGTATACCTCGATGTACTGCGGTCACGCGGCGCATACGCCTGGAGGCGCCGCGCTTATTCAGCGAACATTTGGAACCACTTCGCCCGCTGCATCGCAAGCGCTTGCGTCGAGTGGTGCTGGAGTTAGTTAGATATGTTGATCTCGACTGTCGCTCGGCCCCACTGCTAGACGACATTGGTGATGAGCTCGGGCAAGACCTCGTGTTCGTACGCTTACGAGATCGTCGGTCTCGTCCCATGTTTTTGTCACTGAAACATTAACAAAGACTAGAAAGCAAAATGTTTTTTTTTATAATTTCTATTTTATTTATTATATTTGTTTAATATATACATGTAGCTACAAATTAAAAGTAATTAATTGGGTTGCGTATGTGAACAATACAGGTTTCAGTTTTTTTTTTATTTAGTTCTGAACACAAAATAAATAGAAAATATCTTAAATCCTGATACAGTATTAGTTTTAAATAGTTTGGCTAGTACGCTTATGTGAAGCCAAAAAATGTTACTATAGAAGGAGAAAAGAAAACTGACATAATTTAACAATTTCAACCTAACTTGAATATTATTATAAATCAACAGTGAACGATATGGATAGATGTTAACACATTATAAATTGTGTATAAAGTAGAGGGAAATAAAACTTACCTATTTATGTTTTGCCCAATGAGTCCGAAATACCGAGTTATCTTAGCTCGAAAGAAAAGAGGCATTCTATCTTAGTCCTCAAGGCTGACAACGCATCTTCATTTTGATTCGCAAACGAGGATAGATGTAGATGTCTATGGGCCACAGCAACCACTTACCATCAGGTGGACTGTGTGCTCGCTTGTCATCCTTTTCCTATTAAAAAAAAAAAAAAGCTCGATATAATCCCACTTCTGATTTGTTAGCAAATAATACAATTTATGTTACAGCATATCACTTTTATTTTATCCGTTTATAATTTACAATTTATTTATCGTACAAATAATCACTGTTACTTAGTACCTTCACTATATCTTTACACCAAAAACTGTCAAGTCTCTTAAGTCTCAATACCTTAGAACTGAATAGAACTGAATGCCCCGCTTGGGTCGTGACGGCCATATTTATCCTCTTTTGTTAGGAGTCAAATCCGAAACTATTACAATAAAAATCTTACCGGAAATTCAAAGCCACAAAAGCGGAAATCCGATTTACATTTATTAAAGTTAGATGGATATTTCAAGAGATAACTACATTAAAATTAGGATCATTCAATATGTTATGCTTAATTGTTCTTTATACTTAATTGCTAACAACATTTTTTTCCAATTTTTATTTTACCACTTTGTCTGCATGTTTGTTACACATATTGGTACCAAATTTCAGCTTTCTAGTGCTAACGGTCACAGAGATTAAGCGAGCACGGACAGACGGACAGACAGACATGGCGAAACTATAAGGGTTCCTAGTTGACTACGGAACCCTAAAAATCAACTATTTAAATACACTATTATCTAGGATCTATTTTTACACTATTAGATAGGATAGATAGTATAGGTTTATTTTTTGCTTTAAATATTATGTAGCTAGTTTTGGAAATGTTGATAGTTAGTAAATTGTATTGTAACTAATCGCGAAGAATGTCAAGGTCCTGCTGGGCTTGGGAGACAAGATCATGTATTGAAGAACCAAAGTAAAAAAGACAGGTGTCATCGGCGTAAAGTGTGATATTGTAGGTGAGTGAGTAGACCGAAGGTGAGTGATGTACTCACCAATGATGTTAATATCGTATCCTTTCCAGTCCAGTAGCTTCCAATGCAACGATGAAGTTTCGGAAATGTGACATATATATGTATAATATCACACAGTCGTCCTGCCTTACACTTTCCTGCTATAGGATAGATTTCGTTCCCTAGTTCTGTACTAGGATAGACTTTTGTATCTATATTTTATTTACATTTAAAAACATTAGTTAGGCTTCTTTTATAGCAGACAACTGTGTCCTTCGATCACTTATAAATATACAGTATACACTAACTAAACAACGTCTAACACTAAATTAGGTCGCGCGCGATGAATAGCGTGCTACTAGATCAAATTTGCATCACACGTCCTCTCCCAACAGCGCTGCTGCTAAAACTAGTTGCCGCTAGAACTAGATATTAATACTTAATAGCGTCAAAGCGCCATAGCGCAATAGCGCCATGGCGACTACTTACATAGCACGCGCTATGTGTTATGGAGAGATAGCGCGCTATAAAATGGCACTATGCGCTATATTAACCACCATTACTGCTAAGCCATATGTCTTCAATGAATAAAAGGAGTAGCTGTGAGCAATTTCACTTCTTCTGGGCGAAGTACATAGTTTCTCAGATGAGTGTTACGTTTGCGCATTAAGAGTCCACAATCAGTCAGGATATGCAAGGGCGTTTCTTCCGTTAAGAAACAAAACCAGCAAATCCTTGAGTTGGTTAGTCCTGGGATGGACATGTACTTTTTAAGACAACAGATTGATTTTCGCTTGTAGCGTTTCGGTTGATTTCGGCGTCTCCTTCCGATGACTGCGCCCGGTGCGGTCGCACCGCTCGCTCGCACCGCCCTAGGGCCACCACTGGTTATAAAATATATTAACTAAGTCAGACTTTTTAAACCTTGCTTTCATTACAGTAACACAACAAAAAGGTTTACGCTGAGTATAACTCATGTGGAGGATACCTACAAAACCATTTTTAGCGCTTGCTTTCAGAGTTAGACTGATATTGTCAAGATTTTTAATTTAATAATATTATGCATAGTTTTTAAGTGACATTTGATAAAGAAGTGCAAATATTTTCCAGGCAGTACCAAATGTTCAACGGAATCGACTGCAGTTGATTGGTGTAACAGCTATGTTCATCGCCAGCAAGTATGAAGAAATTTATGCTCCTGATGTAGGTGACTTCGTCTATGTGACTGATAATGCCTACAGCAAAGCAGATGTTTTCCAGTGTGAGAGAGATATCATGTCAAAACTTGGATTTTGCCTTGCACGACCTATACCACTCAGTTTTTTGAGAAGGTAAAGATTTTTGTTTATTTGCTTAGCGGGAAGACAATGCAATTAATTATTATTTTAGATCTGTTCACTTAAAAATTCTTCAGGGAACTTTAATTGACGCTCATACTTCATTCAAGTAGTGTGATTACACCTGTGTTTAAACCTAAAATTTAAAAAAATATTCCTACTAAAACTTAGAATTGCATTCCTAAGGCAGATTAGAAATTCATGTAACATAGTTTGTCTTGCTTGATATTTAAATAGGGTTAGTAATTTCCTTTTGACACTGCTGAAGGGGAGAGTACACAATTACCAACCTTTAATTTGCCAACAACATAGTCCTTACGGCAGAATTGCTTGAGGACCTCAGAATCATGCTCATTGAACTCAATAGTGTCTCCCAACAAATAGGCCTTAAAATTAAAATGGACAAAATAACTGTCTTGTGTAATATCCATGTCTCACCTCTATGCCAGTAGTTGTTGCATGCACTGCGATCAGTTGTCGATGAGTATGTTTGCTTACGATAACTTGTCCAATTAGGTAAGTCCAACTTTGATTGAGAGGCACAATCAACAGATTTGGTTCAACAGCATTCTGGAGACTACACACAGCCTTGAAACAAGATTATACAAACTGTGTGTTGCCAGTGATGTCATATAGATCTGAGATATGGACGTTTTTCACCACTGGCCATATGTGCTCAAGCTCAAGGTTACTCAGCAAGCTTTGATAAGGCTATGCTCGGACTTTCTCTGAGTGAAAGAATAATAAATAAGGAAATCCGTAGTAGAACTAGAGTATGCGACATAAAACAATGGATCACTAAACAGAAGTAGCTATGGGCCAACCATATGAGGGGTATAGTTTCAAAAACAACAAAGTCCGATGTTGACGAATTAGTAAAATATTGATTTAACCTTTTTCCCCCTAAAACTTAACATTACGAGTTTAATTTTAACATATTATGAATCGAATAATGAATGATCCACTCTCAGTTATTGTTAATAAGCACAACAGTAGCTCTAAAACTGAAAAAATACGAAAACATAATGGACTTTGCGGTTTTTGAATCATTCATATGGACATTGCTATTTTTGAAACAAATGTCAATGGACATTGCTGACTTTGATAATGCTACTTTTAGGCTATAGTGCGACTACACAAATTGATACGTTGTGAAAAATGCATGAGAACGATAAATATATTCTTATTAGTGAAATATCATATAAATATTATATGAAGCTTATACGGAATGTATGACCAAAAATAATATGAAGACAATTAATTATAGCTTTATTTAAAAAAAATTAAATTCGAACATCAGGTAGGTCAACATTTTCTTCGCAGATATTTTCTTCATCTTCTTGTTGATCGACATCTGCTTCTACATTTTGTGGTATTAATTTGTCATAAAAGCATAAAATTGGAAATGTTCTCCAGGAATCGCCGAAATGAGATGTTAATAGTTTATTGACATCTTTGACTTTTGCTGATTTTATGATTCCCGTAGTTTGCATATTTTGGGCATCAATTTCGGATGTTCTTTTATTTTTTTTTTCAAACACTTCTGAAAACTCCCGTGTCAATCATATAATTTATTTCGCCCTTAATTACTGTATTTTCAAAAGACAACTTAGATTGCTTTATAATGAATCGTTTGCATTTCATAAAAGGGATATGCCACTGACCGGGTGTTTTTATGATCTTCTTAACAGCTTCCTTCCAATCTTGGACGAGACAATCTTTTCCGACTTCAATTATAGTAGCATTTTCTTTTATTATATTTATATACTCACAAGGTTCCAATATTGTGTCTCGTTTTCGAAATTCTTTTTCTGTTCTGCCAAAAACGCGGTCGGGAGGCAGAAATGAGTGTCCCACTATAGGAAAGATTATTTCCATTTTTTTAATATGTATGGGTGCTGTGGTCATCCATTTCTGACACATTCCAATTACAGCGAAATTTTTATTTTGACCAGCACACCCATCGGCCATTAATCTGATTGTATCTATTTGTTGTGAAAATGATGTATTGTTTAATCGGTGAAATACTGCAGAAGCTATTAAGTTGGAATCTTTGGCGTAAGTATCTTCCGTCCAGATGTAACTAAAAGTATTATTTTCGTTTAATTTTGTGTTTGATGGCCCAGTAACAATAGTGAAGTTATAAACGTAAAATTGTCGCGAATAATATGTGCTTTGATCTGGAATTTTTGGGAGCGGCATATTTTTTTGACAATCAAAAGATATAATCGAAACGTTTGGTGCTTGATCCTTCAAGTAATTATAAAAAGCTTTGGCCCTTTTTGTATGAATTCTTTTTTGAATCATTAGATCTGTTTTCACTTTCTCGTCAACACTTGTTTTGATTTTTTCTGTATATTGTAAACATACAGAGCATACGTCCGTTTGAGGTGAGCCGAATCCTAAGTTAAATTTTGTATTAAATATGTTTCTAAAATAGCTTCTTTTTTACCTTCAAAAAACTGTCTGCCTGGCTATTGTTATATATTTTGAATAATTTGTTAATACTTAGTTCGGCGGGTAAGTAACATCTAATGCACGACAGTAATGTGGCTCAGAGCAATTCAATTTTTTAATAAATTCTATTACTGCTTTCTGTCTCGCTGAGTATAAATGAGACTTATGGTCTCCCCCACGACGCTCCTCTAATAAGACACCTTCATTATGAAATATTTTAGCAATTGCTTCCACACGGTATCTTTTAATACCCAGTATAGCAAGAAATGTGTTCTGACATACTCTTTTTTCTTTTTAATTGACTTACAACGTATATAATATTTATTACTTGAATTCCTCCCCACGTATTTGGATTTTCTAGGCCGATACCTTGCCACTTTTGATATTGTCATGTGTTTAAGAATAAATGCATCTTGCGAACGTTTATCCCTATGTTTGTAAAAACACGTATGAAAATCGATCAAATCACTCATTGTCAATGAATTACATTCATATGTCTTTTTGTGAATACAATTTGGACGATCTAGTAAGCTCTTTGCAGAGTATCTGAAAAAGAAACATCAAACTATAAAAAAATATAGTAACAAACATTATTAACCGCATTATACATATATTATTAAATTACACACAGATAAGAAACTTGAGTATACTTTAATGTATTACGTTTTACAAGAGAAGATCACTGACGATCTCGTTAAAAGTACGCCCGTAAGTTTGTCTTTGTAGTATTCATAGTACCTACATATTCAATATAAATATCTATACACATATAATGTAAACTAATTTATTATAATTGTTATTATTAAAAGATCACGTAAAAGCGCTTACAAATAGAATCTGTATTTTACCGGCATCAACAAACCATAAGTAGGTACATAAGTTGTAAGGATCAAAATCAGTAAATACCACTTAACTTACCGCTCTAATTTTTCCACATTTCTTTTCCATTTATTTTTATCACTAAGTCTTTTTCTTGCTCTAATTTGTTGGACAACTATTGGTGATTTATCCATTGTTGGAATTTATGCACTTTGACTATAAAATTTACACGTTTACTATTTAAATTCTTTACTTTTATTTAATATGCACCTTCACCAAATCGACTCTTACACCGGCTCACGCCATACTGTTTTGACATATCACGGTGGCATCTGATTGGCCGAATTGACAATGCTGATTTTGAAATAACTGGGTTAGGACTTTGCTGATTTTGATTCAACCATTATATTTTGACCTTTAATTTCTATTGGACAAAGTTACTTTTGATCGGCCAACTAAACACTAACCTGTATTATAAAATATGGAGTTACTAGACGTATAAAAATGTTGCTACTTGAAAAAAGTGGACTTTGCGGTTTTTGAAACTATACCCCTCATATAGTCATCCGAAAAGTCAACCGAAAAGATAAGATTGTGTAATGATATCTCCCAAGTTTATTTTGTATTTTTTCTTACGTCACAACAGACCTACTGGCTTCTTCAAATTTTTATTATACTATTCTAATAACTTAGAAGGTATTTTATTTATGTATCATTTTGTTTATTGTTATTTACTTGAATCCTAACATTTTTTTAGGTTTGTTAAAGCAGCGCATGGGTCATCTAAAAATCACCACCTTGCGAAATACTTTGTTGACCTCAGTCTTGTTGAGTATTCAATGGCCCACTATCGACCATCGGAGCTGTCTGCCGCTGCAATTTGTCTTTCCCTACACTTGCTTTCAAACAAATCTCTTTCTGAAGTATGGACGCCAACACTTTCGTATTACTCAGGATATTCTTTAGAGCACATTGATCCTATCATTAGAAAGTTAGCTAAAATCGTCATCAATGTCGAAAATTCCAAACTTAAAGCGGTTTATAATAAATATTTGGACACAACACTAGCTAAAGTATCTAGTTTACCACAGTTGAGAGGAGAAGCTATTTATGAACTGGCAAAAATTCCCTCGAGTTCTTAATTTATGGTTTTGCGTAAGTTTGTAATATACCATTAGAAATATAATGTAATTGACTTTTTTAGCTCAATATTGTTTTATAATCTATGTTGTGATTTTAATACGGACTGAGTTTTTTGAGCATAGTTTGTTTTAGTACCTTGTCATTTGCTTGGTTGAACTTTTATATTTTGATGTAGTATTATATGACATTTAAATAACTAAGATTTTGACTATGTAACTTTTAATTATTATTTATGTATTATTTTAGTTAATTTTTTTTATAATATTTCAGAATTGTTTTGTAAAATGACAAAGTAAACAGAAGTTAACTACATTTGGTCCAATTAATTTGGAGTAATTTATTGTATCTTTCACATTTGTATTGATGATAAAAATAAGATTTTTTATATACTGTCTCATCAACTAAAGATACATGCTTTTTTGTGTCAGACTGATTGGAGCGACAAATGATTATCAGCAAATAAATTTAAAGGAAAATATTAAAAGAAAAGTTACAAAGGAATTTCCTACATGTGTTATTTGTTAAATTTGCTGCAGAAATAAAAAAAGCTATTGTGGAATTGCTTTTTGTCTTACACCTACCTACTTAAGATTGATGTAAGTGTATTCTTGTAATAATTGTAATCATATAAGTACAAGATCTAGATTTAGTTAATTGTAAATTTTAGATGTGACAAAAAATGGACCAAAATGCTTTGTAATGTTTACAAAAATGCAAGCACTTGTACCTAGAAATATTTTGTAGACTACTAGACCTGTGATTATGTTTATATTGTAATAAAATTGTTGAAAATAAATTCTGTTTGTAATTTTTAATGTATATATTTTTTTAATTTTCTCCGAGGGGCAGGTATGTGTTCAATTTCACCAACATGTCTCAATGCAGGGGAGCTTTTTCCAGGGGGTCCTTTGCGCAAGTAGAGATTTATAGCATAGCTAATGTATGTGTGTGCGTGAGAGGGATTGAGAGAAGTACTTCTCACTACCTTGCAACTTTTTTGTTCTCATCTACGAACTTTTTTAAAAATCTATATGGCCCCTTTAGTGCATGCTGAAACATCTTCGAGGTCTAAGGGTTCGACACCCCGCTTTAGTACAAAATAATAATTCGTTCATATTCCCGGGGAATGTGGTATCGTTTTCACATCTACATACTGTGTTAAAAGTCTTTATAAAAGTACAACACATGAAAGTCCTATGACAATATGTTGTATATTGTCATAAGGAAACTTTCAGTTTGAACGTTGTTTCATTGTTCATTGAATACCGTCATTATCTATTCTTCCTCAGCGTGGTGCTATAGTATTATACTCCTTTGTTCCTATCTACACTAATCTGACTCATCAATAAAACACATTACCTAATTTTGTTAAAATTTTTATTTACAAAGTACAAAATCTTATTACTTATTATCTATAAAATAGGAGCGAAACATCTCACCCACTAAAATGTTGTACAATGTGTTCCCTGTAAATATACTCGTAAAACTATGCATTGAACATCCCTAAAACTTATATAGCAAATACATTAAGCAATATTCGCCACAAAATGAAGTCCACTCATTCTGAATCCTATCAACATTCCAGTTCCATCTTTTACAATTTCTTTTTAAAAACTCTAGATGATATCGTACATGTGCTCGTCCGAATGAATCAAAATATTGACCGACGTCATTCGTATCGATATACAAAGCTACCCAATGTGACCCTGGTTTATCATCTGTATCCAAATTGCATATGATATACGTTGGTACGTGGGTGTACATGGGCAGTTTATTGGCAGCATAAACATTATTTTCTAGAGTGGGGTGAATCTTTTTCAGATGTTGTCGTACATCTAGTGTATCCATGATATTACTGCTATTAGTAGATTATTACTGTACAATCTACTCAATGACTAACATAGGAATGATCAATTATAGTGATTTCTAAATATTAAATTGCATTATTTTGTGTTATACAAAACGTATTTGAGTCATCAATACGCTGAACAAGACGCGACACGAAGTAATGTTGAGATAAGCAACAAAATGTGAGATAAGCTTGTTGACGCATAAAGTTACTATCAATTCCACTGCAGAAATTCTTTAGATTAGAATTATTACTTACTGGTACTATATAAGACCAAGCAAGTGCAGTCATGGAGTTAGTGTATGGTCGTTTGACCGCAGTGGATCTATCAATACTACATTTGTGTTACTTCAACGCATCAAAGGCCATGGCCAAGGCAAGGATGTAAGTTTTTATTCTATTGACAAAGTTACTTTTCTTTCTGTTATTTTCTTACGTGTGTATGATTTAGTGTTAACGAATTATATTTAAATATTGTGTGTGTATTATATTAAGCCGTGGTAGCTCAGATGGTTAGCGCAAGCTGTAAATTTCACAGTACCCGGGTTCGAGCCCCGCCGGCACCAATGAAATTGTTAATTGCAATTTGTCAATAGAAAATAAAGTAACTTTGTCAATAGAATAATGTTTATTCTATTGACAAAGTTACTTTTCTTTCTGTTATTTTCTTCCGTGTGTATGATTTAGTGTTAACAAATTATATTTAAATATTGTGTGTGTATTATATTAAGCCGTGGTAGCTCAGATGGTTAGCGCAAGCTGTAAATTTCACAGTACCCGGGTTCGATCCCCGCCGGCATCAATTAAATTGTTAATTGCAATTTTAAGTGTTCATTCTATTGACAAAGTTACTTTTTTTTCTGTTATTTTCTTACGTGTGTATGATTTAGTGTTAACAAATCATATTTAAATATTGTGTGTGTACCGCATCTACGAATACTAGAGTAGTTAAAAAATACTTTTTTAACAATGACAGTCATTAGTTGATCATTAGTGAATGTGATTCTGTTTACTTAAATTACAAGGAAGACAAGAGCAGAAGGAAGAAATGGGATGATGGGAAGTAATGAAGCATTGTTATGTGAAGTTTGTTGGAACAAACATATTTTTAGTCACGTGTAAACACTTTTAACATTTTGGTTCAAAATATTAGATACATTCTAAAAAATATTAGATACATCATCGACATGGACGGATTTTACATTACATATCCTCATAAACATTTTCAATGTAGAGAAATGGCTATTCTAGACGTAAAACTATCTAATAAAAGTGATGCGTTTATCGATCATTATTTGTTTCGGCCAAGTTATCCTTTCAATTATTTGTCACCAAAACACAAAAAAACTGTTCGTTATTGTGAAACACACGTGCATGGCATTCCATATTTTGATGTGACCGAAGAATTAAAATGCGCCTACAAACAAGAGAACATCATCCCCATATTAAATTGGTATATTAGAAATTTGTGCAAAGACGAAGTGATCGCATACAAAGGTGGTTCAACAGAAAAACAATTTTTAAAAATGTTGACGACGAATGATAGTATTTTTAATATTGAAGAATACAAATGTCCAAAATACAATGATTTGGTAAATGTCATAAATTTAAACAAACGTTATGTGTGTAATAATCATATATTTGCAAAAAATAATCACAAAAGTTTACATTGTTCTTGTGACGAAGTGTGGGGTTTTTTACAAGTGGTTATTGCTTGAAAATAAAATTTTCAATTAATCATAAATTTTGTTTGATTTCCCAAAAACATTAGTTATAGTACACAATATATATTAATTGTTTACACCAACACTTTCATTTTTTATTTCACCCCTTAGAACTTTAGACGTGTGTAATGTTTCACTTTATACATCCGTTTACTGCTATTGTGGCAGGACCAAGTGGACGTGGGAAGTCAAATTTTGTAACAAATTTCATAAAATCAGTTCCAGAAATATGTAATTGTGATTTTAATCAGATCATATGGTGCTGTGATGAAATGCAACCTTTATATAATTTACCAAATGTTAACTATCATCAAGGAATTCCAAATCTTAATATGTTTGATGGTGAAAATCCACATCTCGTTATTATTGATGATCTAATGAGAGAGTCCGATGGAAGAATTGTGGATATATTTACAAAAGGTAGTCATCACAGGAATCTAAGTGTATTTTATTTAACAAAATTTATTTCATCAGTGTAAAGGGCTAAGAGGCATATCTTTAATCCCAAGTTATATAATATATTTTAAAAACCCTCAAGATAAAACTCAAATAAGATATTTAGCACGACAAGTGTCACCAGATAACCAAAATACATTGAAGATGCCTACAGGGATGCAACTCTAGAGGCACATGGATATTTAATGGTAGATTTAAAACAGAATACCAATGATTTTTGTCGTATCAAGACAAATGTCTTCCCATTTAATGGTTTCTGTACAGTCTACGTCCCCACAAAAGAGTTTAAATACACCAAGAATCAAACAATTCAAATCATTGCTAAATGATGCATCGTCGACTCACAACGCATAAACATTTGCTAAACGCTTTGCATACGCTTAAACCAAAATATCAAAGAGCATTACTTAAAACGTGTGATGAAGAAGAAATTAACTGTATTTGTGAGTGTATTCATAACGTTTTACAAAGAAAAGTACCTCTTAAAGATCAAGATAAACAAAAATTGAATAAACACAAAAATATACTCCGTCAACTAATGCGTAAGTGTAAACATAAACTAAGAAAAAATATAATTATACAAAAAGGCCTATGTTCAGCAGTGGACTTGTGAAGGGCTGTAATGATACAAAAAGGAGGGGCTTTCTTACCAATAATATTAGGTGCAATATTGACTGGATTAGTGAGTGGACTAGCCAGTTAACATGGAATATGCAAAAAAAATGATACTTATCGAACCTGGATTGATTGAAAAATTAAAACAAGAAAATAAGGTTAATAGTAATTTATCTCGATTAGATATTGAAATGCAAAATATTATGAATAGTAAGACGGAAGACCGAAAGAAATGGATGTTATATTTACAAACACTGCAAAGATACCTTCATTTTATCGAAGAAGATCGTCAACCACTCAGTAGTAGTAGTAGTAGTAGTTTATTCTGATACATCTAATGAAGATTCAAATGAGT